CAGTTATACCACTTCACAGTATATCCTACCAAACACTCGACTACCTGTTAAAGCGATGTGTCAAATGCAAAGCATGTTATTACTAACTACTCACTCACATTAATAGAATACAATGCATTTATACAGCACACAAAGCGCTTATCAGTGGCGGGGTTTGACGCCGAGACGAAGAAAGGAGGAAGGTGATCATAGGCATGATCGAAGAGGAAAATCTTCAATGTGATCAGAAGACAGACAAAGAAGGGGCAAGGGAAAGGGATTCAGGCAGAGAATTCCACAGTTTCGGGGCTTCACGGCTGAAAGCACGACCGCTGACGGAGGAGAGGAGGGGACGAGGGACATGCAGGAGGCCAGAGTCGGCTTACCGGAGGCAGAGGGTTTTGAAGTGGGCGGGGGTAAGCAGGTCACAGAGGCAGTGAGTTACCAGGGAATGAAGTGATTTGTACATGAGAGTCAGAAGTTGTGGGTTCAAGACCCACGTCAGGACTTTCAATCTCGGGGGATGTGCAGCTGGGGGGGGGATGGGGACGGACGGGTGGGTGAGGGGTGGTGGGGACGGTGGGGAGGACTAGAGGAGTAGGCTTTGAGGAGGTCAGAGATGCATGATGTTACCAGGCTCTATAGCTCCCTGTTGCAGAATGATCGATTTCAAGATCCTCACTCTCGTCTACAAATCATTTCATGCTCCAGCCCCTCCCTACCTCTCAAACCTGCTCGCACTTCAATTCCCCTCCCCCCTCCTCATTTGCTCAACTGACTTGGCCTTTCTGCCTGTCCCTCAACCCCTCCACTCCACCATTGGCAACTGTGCTTTCAGCCACCCACTGCACCCGAGATTCTGGTGGGCGAACACGGCAGCCAATTGCGCACAGCAATGTCCCGCAAACAGTCGTAGATTGAAAATGACCAATTTATTATTGTTTTTGGTTTTGGAGGGATTATTATTAGGCTCTGTGTGGAGTAAGGAAACTTGCCCAAGGTTTCGCCCTCTGCCTGGAATTGAACTCAGGTCTCTCACTTGCAAAGCGAGTGCTCTAACCACTGAGCTACAGGACTCCACGAGATAGAATCGGTCATTCAATTCATTTGCTTGGGGGACATTACTTTGTGCGAACTGGCTGCTATGATCGCCCAAAATACACAGTCACACTACTTTAAAGTGTATCCCACAAAGTTCTGTATCAAATGCAAGGATGTATTTTTATTTATTTAAGAATTTATTTATTTTTTCTTTCGGTGTAAAGCAACAAACATTATCACAGTGTCACCCAGTTGTTGCAATGTGAGTAGCAGCCTCTTTCAAAAATGTGTGGGACTGCATTCCAAAAGGAAGGGGATATAGTTTCTTCTTAATTAATTTTTTTTTCAGCAAAGAACTTTGTTGGAGAACATTGTTGGATGAGACGTTAAACCATTTGTCTGTGAGTCAATATTCGAAAAGAGAAGGAAGTTTCTCCTAGTGTCATGGCCAACAATTGCCTCGCCCCCCACCCCTGATAAAAATTGGTCATTCTGTACGTGGATCTTTGCTGTTTGCAAATTGGCTGTCGCGTTTGCTTACAAAATACACAGTGAGTATACTCTCCGGTAAAACTCTGTGAAGCACTTTGAGACATGCTCCCTCCTGATGTAATACCACAAAATCCATCCCTTGTTTGATTACAATCCTATTTTGTTAACAGACAATTGTTGGGTGTGTTCTGCAATATGATCTCTTACTTACATCTCACTCATCGAGTATTGTACATACCTATTTCATCTAAGGTTACTGATGACACAGCAATGTAAGCAGATGTCCTATGAATAGAGCCAATAATTTCCCTCCTCTGTTTCAAGAAGTGGGCGTGTTCGATGTAAACGTCAAAGCAAGCTCTCAGAGCTAGTTCTTCCACAAAGCTGTGTTGAAAATACGGAGTCTAGACCTCTCTTGCAATCAGGTGAGTAAATTGGACGCAATGAAAGGGTCCTATTTGGCTGAACAGGCGTTGAAGAATCTTATACGGATGCCTACCATTGGATCCGATGATGACCTGAAGCTGGGCTGCAGTGCTCTGGTCAAGCAGTTGATCGAGAGCAGTAGTGGGACTGTAGAGGACGGGGTAGAGGGGGCTATAGCTCCTCTGAGTGTGGATATGCTGCTGAAGGAGGCTGACCGGCTCTTGATCGAGGACATAGTGAGCGGGCTCAATCCTATGAGCGCGAGTAAAGCCAAGCTGTTCATCAGCGCCGTCTGCACCGAGCTCTTCCAGGATGACAAGAAAAATCTGGGACGTATCCTCGCCTTCCTGAGTTTCGTGAGCATTGTTGCCCAGAGGGTAATCCCAGATAGCTCTAGCCCGGAGGACGAAGTGGCTCTGTTGTCCGACTGCGTGGCTCAGTGTCTAATCCAACACAAGCACGCCTGGATCCAACAGCAGCCCAACATCTGGGTGAGTCTCGAGACCAAGTCTCAAAACCAATAACCTCTCGCCCACATCTCTCTCCCCAACCCCCCAAGTTACAAGTCCCTTTCCTGGACTCTTAATAATAATAATAATAATAATCCTTGCATTTGATGTAGCGCTTTTCACGTCGGGAGGACGTCCCAAAGCGCTTCACAGAACACACTGTAAAGTGAATTGACTGTATATTTGTGGGCAAACGCGGCAGCCAATTGCGCACAGCAATGTCCCACAAACAGTCGTAGATTGAAAATGACCAATTTATTATTGTTTGGGGTTTTTGGAGGGATTATTATTAGGCGTGTGGAGTAAGGAAACTTGCCCAAGGTTTCGCCCTGCCTGGAATTGAACTCAGGTCTCTCGCTTGCAAAGCGAGTGCTCTAACCACTGAGCTACAGGACTCCTGTTCAGGTGGATGAACGTTAAAGATCCCCCACGGTGCTATTCACAGCGAGATGTCTCAAAGCACTTCACGGGATTTACCGTAAAGAAGCGTAATGTGGAGATCCTGTAGCTTTGTTTGAAAAGAGAAGGGAGTTTCTCCCATTTCTCCAGTGTCCCGGCTCATTCACTTCACGGCCGTTTGTGGGACATTGCTGTGCGCGAGTCGATTGCCGCATTCGTCAAAGAAATACACAGTCACTACACGTTACAGTAAATAATATTAATACTAATAGTAATCCTGCCATTTGATATAGCGCCTTTTCATGTCTTCGAGACATCTCAAAGCGCTTCACAGGATATACTGTAAAGTGAATTGACTGTATATTTTGTGGGCGAAATGCTTGGGAATGCTTTGAGATGTCTTGCTGATTAGACAGGAAGGCACACATTGAAGATAACATAAACTGAATCAAAGGGCAAGTCAGAAAAATAAATATTGTCACACCCATTGGAATGTTTGGAATGTGGAATTCATTGTCACAGACTTATTGAGACAGAATTGGTCAAATATTTCTTGCAGTTGATACAACGCCTCATCACATTGTCGAGATGTTTCAAATCCCCTCCCAGGTTTTACTGAAAAGGTATTTTATAAGTGTGCATTTTGTAGATCAGTCAATTTGTCCCACGAACAACCAGGAAGTAAATGACCAAATTTTATCTGGGGTGTTTGGAACGAAGAATTCTTTATCACAAACTTGACAAAGTTGGCCAGGATACCGCGATAAAGTCCCTTCTCTTTTTGAACACTGCCATGCAGATTTTTAACATCCACCTGAACAGGCAGACGGGACCTCGATTTAACGTCTCATCCGAAAGACGGCACCTCTGACAATGCAGCACCTATGGCGCTATTCAGAAAGAGAAGGCAATTTCTGCCGGTGTTCTTTACAATTGGTTATTTGCTTCATCACTGTTAGTGGAATGTTGCTGTGTGCAAATAGGCTGCCACATGTGTCTATAAAATACACAGTCACTATACTTCATAGAAAAACATTGCGAGGTGTGGTGAAATATTGTGTCCACATGATAAGGATTTAGATTAAATGGAAGGTTTATTGTTATTTAAGCCTACTACTCATTTCGGATTTCCTGTTCATATTCTTGCACAATTTTTGGGTGAGTTTATGAGTCACACCCCTTGGGATCATTAAAAAGGGCTAGACTGAAACTCGTGAAATAAAAGGTGTGGAGAAAAGAGGGAGAAATGGATTAAAAGATCTGAAATTAGCTGATAAACTGGTGGATCAGGCTCGATGGGCTGAATGGCCTCCGCATGTTCCTATGTTCCTTTCCATTTAAAGCTTTCAGGGCAGTAATGAAAATATGATTATTTTTTGCCTGCAAAATACACAGGTAACTCACTTTACACTAAATCTGTAAAGCTCACTAAAACTCTGCAGTGAGAGCAAACGAGAGGGAGACAGAGCCAGACGAGAGGGTGAGCGAGCTAAAACGGACTGTTAATTTCCTCTTTGCTGTTCCTTCTCTTTTTTATATTTATCTGTACTCTTCCTCTCTCTCTTTCTCTTTCTCTCTCTCTCTTTCAATTCCTCCATGGACTACCTCATTCTACCTCCCACCACATCCTTCAACCCCACTGACCTGACTGCTTGCTTTACTCAGCCTGCTTCATGTCCCTCACCCTACCCGCCCCACCAATGGTAGGCTGGCTTTCAATTATTCTGCCCTCACTTTTCTTTAGCTCCATCTCCGACTCGCTTGCTCTCTAATTTCATGCAGGGCATGTGTCAAAATGTGCCTCTTTAAGCGTTCCTTTGGTCATCTTTCCCTTCCCCACCCCACCTCGGCTCCCACCCTGCAGCTCAGTTGCCCATCTAGCTTTGTCAAGGGCTGTGAGACTTGTAGCTTTACATCTCCGAATGCTGGCGCTGACCAGGTAGCTTCCTGTCAAGGGGAGCAGAAGGTAGTTCTATCAACTGGAAGTGACATCAGTGGTGACCCAACCAACTGGAAGTGGCATCACGACAACCTTTTTGATTTGCATGCCCGTTACAAACGGGAGCCGGACGGCAGTGACATAAACCAAATGTAGTATAAATGCACGGCAATGGTTACGGTGTAACATGTGCTTATGTTTATGTCTTCACACAGGGATCCTTTCCCATGATTGCCACCGGAATGTTCCTTATGAGCGGGGCGCTGATCGGTACCATTCTGTCAAAGTAACCCCTGCAGCCTCCCCGGGGAAGTCTCCTCGGTCTCTTTGGTGAGAATCCGCCATAGCAAAAATATCGCGACGTGAAATGAATTGAACACAGAGAAATGTAACCACGTTGATTATGGTGCCACAAAAGACCGAGGTGTCAGTCTGTCTCAGTGTGTAGCAAGCTCACCTCTGAGTCGCAAGATTGTGGGTTCAAGCCCCACATCTAGACTCCTCAGGCGCTGACAGCATCAGCATCCAAGGCTGCACTCTCAACCTCTCAAAGCCAGTCAGGAAACTTGGGGTTCTGATCGACCCTGAGCTGTCCTTTCTCCCTCATATCCGCACCACAACTGGCACCGCCTTCCGTCACCTCCAGAATGTCACAAGACTACGGCACTACCTCACCCCTCACGCAGCTGAAACTCTGGTCCACGCCTTTATCACCTCAAGACTGGACTATGGGAACTCTCTCCTCGCCGGCCTTCCCGCCACCTCCCTCCACACTGCAGGTCATTCAGAACTCTGCAGCACCAGGCTTCGGGACCACATCACTCCCACCCTCGCTCGCCTCCACTGGCTCCCCATCCCCCAGAGGATCGAATTTAAGATCCTCATCCTCACCTACAAGGCCATTCACGGCCTTGCTCCCTCCTACCTCTCTGACCTACTATCCCCCTACCTACCTGCCCATACCCTCCGTTCCTCTGGCTCCGGTCTGCTCCACATCCGCCGCCCCAACCGCCCTACCATTGGTGGCTGGGCCTTCAGCCTCTCAGCCCCGTCCAACTGGGCAGGCTTCGGTTTAACGTGTTATCACACTTTAAACCGAGGCCTGCCCAGTTGGACGTTAAAGATCCGAGGGCACTATTCAAAAAGAGGAGTGAATTTCTCCAGGGATCCTGGCCAACAATTATTAGTTGGCTTTTAAAGATAGATGAGTGGGGTGGGGAGGGAAGGAGTTGAGTTGGACGTGTTGAGGAAGCCAGCTCCATATGGTGGGGGCACAGTGGCTTAATGTTTGTCTCTTGAGAGCGAGATGGTGTGGGGGAAGAGGTGCGTGGCAGACCAAGTTGAGGGGGAAAGCAGGAGGGTGAGGCTACAGAACACCAGAGCGATACGGAGGCCTTGACATATTTTTTGGTGAGGCTGAGGATATTGAAGTCCTCATGTTGGATATCGAAGAAACCTTGGAAAAGCTTCCTTACTCCACATGCCTCTGTTTACGTAGCAGTAAGTAAGAATCCGGTTGGGTGTCGATTGATAGATCACTTTCCAGGGTTAATAATCCTCCTCCTCAAAAAATCCTAAAATTTGGTCAGTCAATCCATGACTGTTTGTGGGACACTGCGGTGCATAATTACTGTCGCGTTTCAGCCACAAAATATACTGTCAATCCTCTTTATAATATATTCTGAAGTGCTTTGAGATGTCTCGACCATATAATAAGGTGCTATATGCAAGGATTATCATAGAATATTACAGCACAAAATGAGGCCATTCAGCCCATCATGCCTGAGCCGGAAATTATTATATTATTATATTAATATTATTACATTATTATTAATCAATTCGCTAGGAGACAATGAGACAGTGCAGCCTGTAGATGAGGGAAGAGATGGAGGAGAAGAGATAGAGCTTGTGGATGGTGAAGCTGTAAGGAGAGCATTTAGAAAGTTGAGTCTGCAGTCAACGAGGTCTGTTTGATAAAGGAACAAAGTCCATTCTCAATAAATTTGATGTCTTTTATGTCTTTTTTTTGCAGGAAGCTTTTGTCTCATCGCACCTATTCTGATTCTAAGTATTGATAGCCAAGATCCTTACCCTCTAAACGCTCTAAGACAGAGATGTATATCATTCTACCTTCCGCGCACACTATTTACTCCGGATGGCACTTCTGTGTTTACGTCAGCAACTAAAGTTTAAAACAAAATCATTAGTACATCACTCATTGATGGTGCAAACAAATAAAGAAATATGAGGGAGGATTTTTTTCGCGAACCTACACAAGATTCGTTCAGATGAAGAAGATCATTCGGCCCATTTGATCTCCTCCTTCCAGACACCCATCTTACCGTTCCCCCCCCATCACAGCTCAACCACTCTTCTTGGTAACCTGTTCTATTTGTTAATTACTCATTGACATTGCTGCGTTCAAACTGGCTGCTGCATTTTGCCCAGAAAACACACAGTCCCAACCACTTTGCTATACTGTATATACTGTATATGTAACTGTACATATTGTGAAAAGCTTTGAGACATCTCAATGACATGATGAAGCCCTAAAGCATGATAAACCAATGTTCGCTTCCTACTGTCTTGTTGCATCCTAAAGTATTGCTTTAGATTTACTGTTTCAATCCCATTCAAAATTGTACACACCTCAGTAATGACCCTTGGAGTGGTGTTCTCTCAAGACTGAAGAGAGCTGGCTTGGCTCTGCTCAGTCTGAATGTTTTTGCACAGGGAATTGAAAACTTCCGCTCTCTAGTGTGCAAACATCACTGCAAGTAAACGATTAACTTCTTATCTTACTTTTGAAATTTGCCACCAGCAAAACCAAAATAACATCCTTGGTCACAAAGCTTGGAAGCACTTTACAGCTGACTAGGTGAAGGGAATGCAAATATCTCTATCAAACACACATTGTGCCCACAAATACAGAGGCACAACACATCACAGTAAAATCAACAACAGCTTGCATTTATAACAGCGTCCTTCACACAGAATAGTGTCTCAGAGCACTGCACAGCAGTGGGATTGTACAGAAAATGCTGTGAAACCGCTTTGAGATGTTTATCTACGTGATAAGGTGCCATATCAAATCAACATGTTATTACATCAGGGATTGGTCTTTAGTCTGACATTACACTAACTGAACTTTAAGGAGCTTTTATTTAGCACTATGTCAAATACATTCAATATTTGTTTCTGTTTTTTTACATAAACCACTAAGAATTAGTGAAGCCTCCCAGAGATTCAATAAAGAATTATACCAATACTCCCAGGACTCATTTTAATGAACTTCTGAGTAAAAGGCGAATAACAAAATGTCACCAATGTCGCGCTTAGCAGTGCAGTTCCCCATTGATGAGAGTTCTGTGTGTTGGCTCAGTGTTTCCACTCCTGCATCTGAGTCAGAAGGTTGTGGGTTCAAATCCCATGTCAGGACGTGAACTCACATTGTCTAAGATGACATTCCAATGCAGCACTGGAGGGGGTGTAGTGTGTGGCATTGTCGGAGGTGCTGTCATTCGGATGAGATGTTGAACTCAGGTCTCATCCGCCTGTTCAGGTGGACGATAAAGATCCCATATCGCTATTTGAAAAGAGAATGCAATTTCTCCTGGTGACCTCCCCAAATAAAATTGGTCTCTCGTTTCATGGCTGTTTATGGGACATTGCAGTGGGCAATTGTGCTGCAACGTTTGCCTACAATAACACAGTCACTTCATGTCACAGTAAATCCTGTGAAGCGTTTTGAGACGTCCTTCCAACCTGATAAGGTGCCATACCAAATGCAAGGATTATTATTATTGTTGTTTAGCCAGACTCTGAAGGATGGGCTAATATGTATGAGTGTGTGCGTGTATGTACGCGTACATGTGAGAGTATGCGCACACATGTTTGTGTGTGAGTGTTTATGAGCGAGAGTATATGAGCGCGAGTGTGTGAGTGTGTGTGTGTTTGTTTGTGTTTGAAGACATCAAGTGAGGGTTCAGCTGCGATGCATCCAACAACTGCACGCTGATCAGGATCGTATGAGAAACGGTCACTCAGGTGAGTTGGGACTGTAGAGCACTGCACAAGTCAGTGTCTTCAGGACAGGAGGGAAAGAGAATTCTAAAAGCAAAATAAATCCTCAGCAGAAGGCACGGGGCCAATGGGTTACATGACTGTAACTCTAGGAGGGATTATAGAACCATATATATTCACAGTGCAGAAGAAGGCCATTTAGCTCATCTCTGTGCTGCCTCTGTTAAAGAGTAATCCCTCAGTTCCATTTTTTTTCATAGATTCATAGAATGTTACGGCACAGCAGGAGGCCATTCGGCCCATCGAGTCTGGGCCGGCTCTTTGACAGAGCAACTGACTTTTATTAACCCCACTCACCAACTTTCTCCCCATAACCCTGCAAACCCGTCTTCTCCAGATACCTATCCAGTTCTCTCTTAAAAGCTGTTATCGAATCGGACTTCACTACCCTTTCAGGCAGATCATTCCAAATTCGAACAACTCGCTGAGTGAAAAAATTCTTCCAACCTCCCCTCTGCTTCTTTTGGTAGATATCTTAAGACTTGACCACGGGCCACAGACACACCTACCAGCGGAAACAGCTTTCCTTATCTAGCCTGTCGAAACCTTTCATGATCTTGAAAACCTCTATCAGGTCCCCGCGTAACCTTCTCTGCTCTAATGGGAAAAGTCCTAACTTCTCCAGCCTGTCCTCATAGCTAAGGTTCCCCATTCCTGGTATCATTCTCGTGAATCTCCTCTGCACCCTTTCCAGTGCCTTAATGTCCTTCCTGAAGTAAGGTGCCCAGAACTGGACGCAGTACTCCAGCTGAGGCCTAACCAGTGTTTTGTATAGATTAACCATAACCTCCCTACTCTTATACTCTATGCCCCTACTAATAAAGCTCAGTCCACCTAATGCCTTTTTTACTGCCTTATCTACCCGTCCCACTACCTTTAATGATTCGCTTACTTGAACACCCAGATCTCTCTGTACGTTCACCCCCCTTAAGATTGAGCTACCAAGTCTATATTGCCTCCTATCATTTTTCCTACCTAAGTGTATCACTTCACACTTATCCAAATTTAAATCCATCTGCCACATGTCAGCCTATTCCACCATTCTGTGTATGTCTGCTTGCAGTTGTTACAGTCCTCCTCACCATTTACTACCCTACCTATCATCTGCAAACTTGGAAATAGTGCTCTCTATGCCCAAGTCCAGATCATTAATATATATATTAGAAAGAGCAGTGGTCCCAATACCGATCCCTGGGGGACACCGCTGCACACCTCCTTCCATTTCGAGAAACACCCATTAACCACCACCCTCTGCTTTCTGTCACTCAGCCAGTTCTTAATCCAAACTGCCACTGTCCCCTTAATACCGTGGGCCTCTAATTTTTTATTAATCTCTTATGCGGTACTGTGTCAAAAGCCTTTTTGAAATCCATGTAAATAACGTCCATCGCATTTCGCTTATCAACCCTCGCAGTCACCTCTTCAAAAAATTCTATTTGCCTTTAAGAAATCCATGTTGGCTGTCTTTAATCACCTCATGCTCCTCTAAGTAGAGATTTATTCTGTCCCGGATTATGGTCTCCAGTAGTTTTCCTATTACTGAAGTTAGGCTGACTGGCCTGTAATTTCCGGGTTTGTCTTTCTGCCCCTTTTTGTAGAGGGGGTAACATTAGCCACTCTCCAGTCTCTTGGCACCACTCCTGTGTCCAATGAAGATTGAAATATAATGGCCAAAGCCTCCGCTATTTGAACCCGTATCTCCCACAGCAACCTTGGGTGAAACCCATCTGGTCCTGGTGACTTATCAATTTTGAGCCCAGTCAATCTTTTCAGAACTTCCTCTCTGTCTATAGTAATCTGATCTATTTCCTCTACCCTCTCATCCAATACTGCGGCATTTGGGGCATCCATTTCCGTTGTGAAGACAGATGCAAAGTACTCGTTCAGTACATCAGCCATCCCTCTGCCTCCACAACAAGATTGCCGTCATTGTCTTTGATTGGCCCCACCCTACCTTTAACTAACCTTTTTTCCTTTATGTGCTTGTAAAATATTTTAGGATTCCCCTTTATGTTACCCGCTAACCTCTTCTCATGCGATCTTTTAGCCTGTCTTATCACTCTTCTAAGATCACTCCTGCATTCTCTATAATGTGCTTTGCTATCCTCAGTATCTTGCATCTTCCAATTGTCGTACGCCATCTTCTTCTTTTTCATCCTAGACAGAATATCCCTGGTCATCCAAGCTGGTTTGGTTGTCGCACATTTCCCTTTTTGGGAATATATCTATTTAGACCTTGAGCTATCATATCTTTGAAGATCTCCCATTGCTCATGAGTCGTTTTACCTGCTAGTCTTACTTGCCAGTCCACCAACTCTAGGTCCCTTTTTAGCCCATCAAATTTGTCCTTTTCCATTCAAGCATTTTCGCCCTTGACTGTACTTTGTCCCTGTTCATGTTCATTTACCCATCTTTTACCCCATACCCTGTAATATATTCCTTATAGATATCTATCCAATTCCTTTTTGAAAGCTAATACGGGTTCTGCCTCAACCATCGTTCCATACCCTAACTCAGGGGTCTCCAACCAGTTGTCGTCTCATGCACGCTCAATAATTTTTGGGGTCGGTCAGGTGTCTGACACATGCGGAAACCCATCACCGTGCTTAAGAGTTTCCAAACCAAGCTGTGAGTTCCACGCCTCCCACCTACACATGGAAATCCCAGAGATAGATTGTTGGAATGGAATGCGCTCCCTCTCCCTGAAAGGGCACATCCTGCTTACTTAATTCAGAAAAGTATTAGGCGTAGGTTGGCAAGAGCCAAGGCTTGGGGATCGCAGAGTGTGTGTTGGAGTCTGCTGGAATCTAACCAGCTAAAAACACATAGCTTACCATTGATATCGCTGTCTGGCAAGCTTGCCCATGCATGTCCAGCTAGGACCAGCCTACCTGTTAGCACTTTGCCTTTCAAAGCCCTCAATAAAAATAAGGAGCGATATTTACCACAGTTTAAACACTAAGGTTTATATTTTTATGTTGACATGCATGAAATACATTGTGCGTCTGGTTTCGTTCGAATTGGACTAAATAAATATGCAGTTCTATCACTCTTATAAATTGGATAGATTTCTGTTGGAAAGAATATCTTGGGATATAATAAATAGTTTGGGACACAACATGACAGGGAGCGGGGAGGGCACCGTAAGCGCGATCGAGGAAAGAAAGGTCTTTAGGCAGGGTTTGAAAGTGGGGAGGGAGGGGGCAAGATGGAGAGATTGAATGGACCTTGGTCTTCCTTCTCCTTTTTCCTAGCAAATTCTTATGTTCTCTTTCCTCTTGTCTTTTTGATTATGCATAAGAGCGCCACCTAGTGGTGATGTCTTAACTATGTATGTGACAAAAATACTCCTAACTGGGAGGTGGACACTGGCACATCCAGGCTTGTTTTCCTTTCAGAGAGAGCGAAATGTCTCAATATTGGAAGCCGAGTGCAGCCACAAACTCCCCTCTGTTGCAGTCTGACCTCACCAGGGTATGAACCCTTCTCACTGAAGCTAAGCAGAAGTCTGAATAACATAAACAACCAGACAGTGAAACATTTGGTATTCTTAGAGGGGCCAATACCCCAGCCTTGGATACAGGGAAGAGGATCAATCAAGCCTTTAAGACCAATTTGACTTGAAATTTAAGAACGCGCAGAACAGTGGGGGAAATTGTTAAAATTCTGTTCGGTGTTGCGTGCTAATCAGAAGCCTTACATTTCATATAGCTCCTTTCCCATTGGGAGGAGAGAGAGAGAGTGTGTGTGAAAAGGAAAACAAAACTGTGACAAAGAGAGCGTGTCACACAGTCCTAAGCCTACTGATCTGTTCAGAAGGCTACTATGGTAGACAGAGGTAGAATTGTCCATACACTCCCTAGCACTTCCTATCTTTTCCGACCTTCTCCTACCCTACACTGCTGTACACAATTGGCTGCTGCGTTTCGCCCACAAATATACAGTCAATTCACTTTACAGTGTATTCTGTGATGCGCTTTGAGATGTCAAAAAGACGTGAAAAAGCGCTATATCAAATGCAAGGATTATTATTATATTATATTACAGCTAATCAGTGCTTGTTGCACATTTCCCTCCTCCACCTCTGCACCATCAACTTTGCAAGTGAGAGACCTGGGTTCAATCCCAGGCAGAGGGCGAAACCTTGGGCAAGTTTCCTTACTCCACACGCCTAATA